AATATATTGTAAGTTGGAAGTGTATTTACTATGATTGTTAGATAGTACAATTACTAAATTTAAAATAATATCTTTGTTTTGGGATGGACGAAAATGAAAAATGGAACCCTTCTTATGAGACGGATGAAGTATACTTATTTTATAAACTCTAATTAAACACTAAGTTTAATTTTTGGATTGGACTGAATTTGATTTCATTATCAAGCCACATAACAACAAATTTTTACATAACTTGAATTGATAAAGGTCAAAACAAAAAGTTTGTTTCCTCTTTTTAGAGCAATCAAATTAGTCAAGTTCCAACAATGCAAGAATTTAAATATTTAAATAAATCACATGCTAACAATCCTAACGAAATCAATAACTTTAATACAATTTATTTTTTAGTTTTGATAATTAAAATATGGGTATAACAAAATTTTAATCCGAAGGTAATGAGAAAGATTAAATCAAAATTATTTACATTATTCGGAATAAATTGTTACATACACATGTAAAAATAGAAAAAATTTCATTACTTAACAAGAGATCTCAAAATACGATATGTGACATAATAGATTTCTAAATGACCAATTCATTTGACCAACCAACGATCTAAGTATGCATAAGTAAATACACGAAAATTCCACTACTTAACAAAAGATCCTAAAATATAATATATGGCCTAATAGATTTTCAATTGCCCAAATAAATTTTACAATCAAATTTTCCAATATTACATTTAACCGTATTTAACTTTTTCGTACAAGTAGAAATCAACCAAATCAAATGAGTTGAGTTGAAAGAGATTTATTTAATTAATATTTGATTTATAATGTAATATATATTCTATCCGCTCATTTAATAAGTTTACATTTACTTTTTCTGTCATTGTACTTAACATTAAAAATATCATTATATTTATATAATTTTTTTATACAATGTCATTGTATTTGTATTATAAGACACTAATAGAAGTATTTTTGTCATTTTTCCTTAATTTGTACTTCGTTTCATGTAATAATTAAGGGTAAATTATTTTTTTAGTCCCGTAACTGGACCCCCTTATCATTTTAGTCCTGTAAGTGGAGCCTGTCGCAAACTAGTCCCATAAGTGAAAAATTTTCGCTATTTTAGTCCTCCGGCGCCGGAGATGCCCGCGTGGCTCGCCGGAGGTGACGTGTCCGCCAGGTGTCGCAGACCTGGCGGACACGTGAATTTTTTTTTTCATTTTTTTAATTTTTTTTAAAATTTTATTTTTAATTTATTTTAATTTTTTTTTATTTGGTCCAATTAAAAAAATTAAAAATTAAAAAAAATAAAAAAATAATAATACATCCACGTGTCCATCAGGTGTCGCTGACCTGGCGGGACACCTGGCGGACACGTCACCTCCAGCGAGCCACGCGGGCGTCTCCGGCGCCGGAGGACTAAAACAGCGAAAAAATTCTACTTATGAGACTAGTTTGCGACAAGTTCCACTTACAAGACTAAAATGATAAAGGGGTCCAGTTACAGTACAAAAAAACAGTTTATCCAATAATTAATAATCAAAGATCAACATGCAAAAATGAAATATAAATTTTCAAAGTAAACGGAGGGAGTATATGATTAAAAAAAATTAAAACTATGTATTTAAATATTTTATTAATTATATTTTAATAAAATATATACAATATAAATATTATTTTCAGATAATAAAATTTTATATAATACAAATAAACAAAAAAATATAAACATATATTTATAAATAATATAAATTATTTTACAAATAAATAAAAAGTTTTGAATGTATATAAATATATTTATATATTGAAGACAGATAAAAATAAAAAATTAACGAATTTTAAGTAAATCGCAATAATATAATATTTTAAAAGCATAATGTCAACATGCATTCGAAAGCAAACCTAACACATACTAAATTTATTTACTAACTATGGGGTTTGTTTAATTTGAGAATAAATGTATTTTTGGATTTGTACATAATATTCTTTATTATTTTAATTTTTTTATCCTAAAATTTGTATAGAAATAATTTTATGTTTAATCTATAGTCGAAGGAGAAGTTATTTGGTATTAGAATAATATTTAATTCGACCGTCAAAATTATGTCATTATTTTATTTTATTTTTGCCCATTAAATTTTACCTGTTTACAATTTTATTATTCTTACTTTAACAAATAATAATCATTTTTCTACTATTTTTTTACTTTCTGTACTATTATTTTATCAATTACGTAATAACTTTCTTATAATGCCTCCACTTTATTTTTACTTATTCCACATTAATATTAAAATATTATTATTTTTTAATTTTCGTATACAACTAAACATATATGATTTTACTGGACGAAGAAAGTATTATTTATGCTAATATAATATCGTGACAATTTACATAAACTAGTCACATGACAATTTCTAAATTCAAATATTAATATTAATTTAATTTTCAAATAAATATACAAAATTAAATTCATATCATCATAATGTTAGAAATTGCCACATGTTAGTTTATGTAAGCTTTTGCTAGGGTAAGAAAAAAAAATTAAATCAAATCATTGAATCAAACTGATATTTTGGTTAACTGAATAAATTTGATTAAAATACAAATATTGCATATTTGATATATGTTCGATTCAGTTTTGATTTTTGATATTTTATATGTTTAATCGAACTAAACCAAATATATTTATATTATTATATTTTAAATCTATATTTATAATTATATTATATTCGGTTCAGTTTGAAATATTTGCAAATATTTTTACTTAATTGAAAGTTTAGTTATTTTTAATGTATTTTTTAATTTTAATTCGATTTGAATTATTTATAAATATTGTATATATTTTTAGTTAATCGAAAATTCGGTTAATCAAACTGTTCAGTTTGAATACAGTTCATAGTTTCGGATATTTCTTCGATTCTATTAAGATACCAAATACTTGTATATTTATAAATATTTGAGACATGTCCACCCTAACTTTTGCAATGTTATGCTAGACAATATTATGGTATGAAAAAACATTTTATACATACTTCAATAGAATGACTAACAAATATTTTATTCTTTTATTTTATATTTGTTTTTATTTTAAAATTTATATTAGTTTTAAATAGAATAGTTATTGAATAATATTTTATACTCCCTCCGTCCGCCTCTAACCGTCATATTTATCTTTTGCGTTATTGTACTTAATATTAAAAATATTCTTATATTTATATAATTTTTTTTGTACAAACGTCTTTCTATTAATATTATACGACATTAATGAAAATATTTTTACAATTTTTTTTTTTAATTTGTACTTACATTTTGATATAATAATTAATATTCAAAGATCAACAGCCAAAAATATAAATGGAACTCTTAGAGGTGTACGGATGTAATATAGAAATTAATGTATTTTTATATAAATTTTTAATATTATTAAGTACTCCCTCCCTCTCTGCCACTTATTATGTCCATGTTACCGTTTCTGTCCGTCCAACGTCTCATCTCAAATCACTCTCCTTTTTTGAAAAATAATTAGCTATGTTAATTTTATTTTAAATTTTCTAATTTAAATTTTTTTAATTTTAATTGAACTTATTAGTTATCGTAATATTAATCTATAATAATTTATATTATAAATTAATTATTTTTACTAATATATTTTTAATTATCTATTCTCGTGTTTACAGTAAAAAGAGACCCAATTGGAGACGGAGTAGTAATATTTATGGTATCCAACCTAAACCTTTCATCCTATATTCGAACAGACAAAAAAGTAACGTGCATTGGAATAGTAGGGCCCGCTAGCACCTTCCGTCTAGCTTTATTAGAAAATGATGGATGTGTTTATTTATCAAATTTATGATTGGTAAAAAAAATAAGTTTTTTTTTTTATTTTTATAGTACATAATTTTTACACATTTTCTAATTTATCCACTTATATATTATATTTATTTATAAAAATATTATAACTACTTACGTACTTAATTTACATAAAAAAGAATTATTTTATTAGTATATTCATATAATTTTCAAAATAACTATATCTTATGTTTCAATCAATCAATATATTATTTATTAAAATTCTTGTTATGGACTATTTTTTTTTTTTATTTCAAAACAAATTCTATAATTAGTTTGATATTAGTTACTCTATCCAAACTAATTACGTCACTTTACTTCGGCAGATTGATTAAAAAGTAATGATAGTTTAATATAAAATGGATAGGAAAAAATCAAAATAATGTATTATATAAAAGAATTGATAAAAAATAATGTGATAAATAAAAAAATAATAAATTAATTATTATTTATTGAAATAAGGAAATTAAATTATAAATAAATAAAATAATAAGTAAATAAAATTATTTATTATGAATAGAATATTCAATTGAACAGATAGTAAAAAAAAAACAATAATAATTATAACTAATAGAGGGAGTTTAATTTAATCATTTTGTAGTATATTAAAGTCCTTTTTTTAACTTAAGTTTTTAAATTACTTATTAACAATTTTCTTTTCAAACATTTAATTTAAAATTTATTTTTATTTAAAATATTATTCTCTCCGTCATTCAATTGTATATTTATTTGACAGAAACGAGTTTTAAAAAAAATATGAAAAAATATAAACTTTTATTTTTTTAGGTAAAAAAAAAATAATAATAATAATATTCTTTTTACTAAAAAAAACGATAATAAATTTAGATGATAAAAAAAAATGAAAGTAATAATAGATTTGACGACGAAGAAAATACAATATATTTATTTGATACGATGGACTATATTAGAGTAATTATAAAATTAATTTATACATTTTATAAATATATTAAAAAAAATGAAAAGTTACTTGCGTATATGGATTGAATATAAAATTTTCTGATTAATAATTAAAACTAATTTGTTACTACTATTAAATAAATAAACGATATATATATATATATATATTTTTTTTCTCTATATATTTATTTATTTATTTATTTATTTATTCATACATTGTGATCTTGTGGCTTCAAATCTCGAACGTACATTGCAGCACTGCTTTTTCTAACTGGATAATACCATCGACCAAAAACCAAAAACAACATTTGAAAGAACACCAAACTCAGAAGCTCTTTGAAGAAGAAGAAGAAGAAATCCTTCAAATTTCATAAGCAAATTGACTCAAATCGAAGCACCTCTTCCAGAGCAATGGAGAATTTAGTTTTCCAGCAATCAATCTTTCCTCGTATCTTCATCCAGACCAAAACTGCTGCAAGAATTGGGATGAGCAAGAACAGGCTGCCATGGAAGTTTCAGACATGCTCCGCCGCAGTCAGATTCTCCGGCAGCGACATCTCCGACGAGGACTCTTTGGAGAAGAAGACAAACCTGAATGGTTTGCCCTTCAGAACTCTGGAAGCTGAGATTACACAGGAAACCGTTGATTTCTTCGTCAGTGATGCCGAGGGCGATCCTGACCGTCCGTCGCCGGGGTACTCCTCCGTCGAGCAAGCACTCGCTGCGTTGCGGCAACGGAAGGTTTATAATCGATCGAAATTTTTTGTTGTTAGATGCTTCAGTTATTGATAATGGTCATTCATTTGATTTTTGTTTTTTTGAAGTTTGTGATTGTTGTCGAAGAGGACGTCGCAGACGGCGGCGCTGTCGAAGGGAATCTTGTCATGGCGGCAGCGCATGCGAGCCCGGAGGCCGTCGCATTCATGATCAAGCACGGATCGGGTATCGTTTCGGTCGGCATGGCCGGGGACGATCTCGAAAGGTTACAACTTCCATTGATGTCGAAGGAAGACGATGCCTCGTCGTCGCCATTGTTCACAGTGACAGTGGTAACGATTATTTCACCTAAAAGTTTAAGCCAGCAACAGAGATAGGGATTGTCGTATTACAATGTAAGTGTAATTGAATTTACAATAATTTTATTTAGGATGTAAAAGCCGGGACATCCTCAGGTGTCTCGGCTTCGGATAGGGCGAAAACCGTTCTAGCTCTTGCCTCGACTCAATCGAGGGCGGAGGATTTTCGACGACCCGGCCATGTTTTTCCCCTAAAGTACACGGTCGGAGGCGTTTTACGTAGAGTCGGGCACACCGAGGCATCGGTTGATCTAGTGATGCTAGCAGGTCTACATCCCGTCTCTATTTTATCGACTATTGTCGACAAGGAAGACGGCTCAATCGCCTCGTTGGATGCTTTGAAAACAATAGCCTCGGATCACGGCATCCCAATCATTTCGATCACCGATATTATAAGGTACACATAAGATTATAGATAAACGAATCATAATCAAATCGAAGTTTAAACCTCGAAACATAATGTACATTGTGTTTCGATTAGGTATCGAAGGAAACGGGAAAAAGTCGTGGAGAGAACCGCGGTGTCGCGCTTGCCGACTAAATGGGGATTGTTTCAAGCGCATTGCTACCGTTCAAAGCTCGACGGGATCGAACACATCGCCATTGTCAAGGTAAAAGATCGATAAAATGATCAGTTTAAGCTTTTAGGTAAGTCAGTCGTTTAACGCTGTGTATAGTTTAAAACATGCCAGGGCGAGATTGGGAACGGACAAGATGTTCTAGTGAGAGTTCATTCCGAGTGTTTGACCGGCGACATTTTCGGATCACGGCGATGCGACTGCGGAAACCAATTGGATCTAGCAATGCAGCTGATCGAGCAAGCCGGGAGAGGCGTCGTCGTGTACCTTAGAGGGCACGAGGGGCGCGGCATCGGGCTCGGACACAAATTGCAAGCATATAATCTTCAAGACAAGGGACACGACACCGTCGAGGCTAACCTTGAGCTTGGGTTCGCTGCGGATGCGCGCGAATACGGTATTGGGGCTCAGGTATTTTGATCGACTCAAATGACGCTTTTTCTAACATTGTTCGAGCTAGGTTATTACGATCCTTTCTCCTCCGGCAGATTTTGCGCGACATCGGAGTTCACACGATGCGGCTGATGACGAACAATCCGGCGAAGTTTTCCGGCCTTAAAGGGTACGGGCTAGCGGTGGTCGGCCGCGTTCCGGTGATGACTCCGATCACAGAGGATAACAAACAGTACTTGGAGACAAAGAGGTTGAAAATGGGACATGTATATGGATCGGATTTACAGGGATCGATGACAGAGTTCTTTCGAACGAATCGAGATGGGGAAGAAAAGGACATGTGATGAAGAAATTACAACGTTATTGAATCTTGTGTGTATAGAAATGGCAAAGGATCCTCACACTTAAAATTGGCTAAGTTGTAGGTAAAACAAGATAAAATTTATTTCTGTTTTATGAAAATTGCACAAAATTTTCTATAACTTAAAAATTAACTTAGACTTCGTTATAGTTTCAAAAATATTGCATTTAAATCCTTTTTTGTTATTAGTTAACGGTGATTGTTCTATATACACCTTAACTGCCAAGGTAATGTAAAAATTCTGTAATTACAGTGTCACTGTTAACTAATGACGAATGGAGTTTAAATGTAAGGTTATTCAAACTATAAGGAAATCTGATTCAATTTTTTAAAAATGGGAGATTTCGTCCATTTTATGTTGTTTTCGCTACTTTTTTGTTTTTGTGGGTAGGTATAATGCATAACTTTGTAAATTTTGGGTTGAGCATCCGAGCCAGTATAGAAATGATTTTTTTTTTTTTTTTTTATGACATGAGAATTCGCAGTCGCTACTCAAAAGTGCGCACTGGGAAAACCTTTCGTCCGATCGGAAACTAGGCGGTTTTTGTGTGTGTACGTGTGAGAAGTGCATTGTGGTGTTGTTGATTTTATTTGATTTCATTGAAGGATGCATATAAGTTAATTATTTGTCACAATAATCATTTGTTGTTGTGAAATTGTAGAATAAAATATGTCGAATGATTTTTCTTTTCAAGATATTATTGCATGTTTTATATGAATTTGAATGTGTGGCTGGTTGACTAGAAATATTTGACGTGGCGGAGGATATTTTGATTTACAAGAAAATAATTGTAGTGGATTAATTAAATATATTACAATATGTTATAATTTTTATTTTTTTCCTTTTTAAATTAATTCAACCAATATTAGACCTTAGCAAATAAATATTAAAATAATGCCAAAAAAATCATATTAAATAGCAAATAAATATTAAAATAATGCCAAAAACTCATATTAAATAGAATTATGTAACAGTATTGGATTATGTTGATCGCCACAACTGCCTGCCCGAATATGTGGGCCATGCTGATTTGATGTTAGCTTCAATTCTGTTTATTTATTTTTACGCCTCTCACGTAAGAATACCAGTAAGTGATTTTTTTTTAAAAAAAAAAAAAAAAAAAATATTGAATTTTGTTTTGTTCCTTGTCTTGGATTATGGTCGAATTTGATGTTGTGGAGGTATTTATGATCTTTGTATGTCGAATAATTATGTATATTGATTTGATTTTGTGTTTAGGTAAAAACATGCCTATTGATTTTGTATTTAGATAATATTGCATTGTAATTGTACTTCGATTTTGTACTAACACTACAAAAAAAAATAGTATATTAGTAACGGAATTCCATTCCTAAAGTTCATGTAGCTAATGTAATTTCATCTTTAATTCAGTCTCTAATATCATTAGTAACGGAAAAAGTGAATTTAGAAACGAAAAAACTTCGTTACAAAATTGATAATTTCTTGTAGTGTAATTGTATAAGGATGATGTGTTTTGCTTGTATTCCAGAGTGTTTTTAGATATTTTTGTAATTTTTCCTAATTTATTTTTAAACACTATGTTTGTAATTATTTCTTTTTAATCTTCTTCAATTTTTACAATATGGCATTTAGATGAGTTGTTTTTTTTTTTTTTATGGTTTGTCGATGAATACGTGGACTTCGCGCACAAAACTCAATCCTGACCTGTTGGCCAAATTTGAGTATACAACATGACTGTAATTATAGGAAGACGATCATATAGCGACATTGAAATTAGTAAACATGGGTTTGAGTTAACACCCTAACTAACTCTCAAAATTGGATTAGGAATGGGTTAAAGGTTTTTTGTTTTCGTTTGGATTATATGGAATAAGAGATTGGACTAAATCCAGTAATGTGCACTAAGGAATTAGCTAACTTTATATATTATCGAGGGATGAGTTGGATTAGATTTCGAAAGGCCAAAATCCTCAACAAACAAAAATATACAATAAAATATACAAGTATATATATATATATGTATGTATAAATATATATCAATATCTCCTCAAACTCAAGGTGTAGTCATAGGAACTAACTTAGTTTGCTCATGAATGATTCAAAATAATCTAGAATGGGGAGCTTGGTAAAGCTATTTACAAGGAAATATAGCTGAAAAAGTAGTCAACGATGAACAGAAGTAATAGCTAACATACAACAAACAAAGGTAAGATGCACAGTCGGGGCAAAAGCCTCCTCATTATCGATATCATACTCCTGTTTGTAGCCCTTAGCTACTAAACGGGCCTTGTACCATTCAATAGATTCATGAGCATAAATTTTAATCTAAAATACTCACTTACAATCAATAGGTTTTTTCCCGAGTCAAAGATCAATTATATCCTATGTATGTATTTTCTCCAAAGCATGTACTCTTCAAACATAGTTTGGCATCACAAAGGATCTGCATATACCTCATGGAAAGACCTCGGTTCATGATACGACAAAGTGAGACAGTAACAATAATAATAATAATAATAATAATCATAAAGTATGGAGTGACTAACATGAGTGGAGCGCCGAAGACCAAGATTAGAATCAATGACATATGGCGTATCAGTATCGAGCTTAAGTAGTGGTGTTGGATCAGGCTCATGGGTTAGTTTCTGTTCATGAGGCACAATAGGGACAACATCAGATATTGTAAGCAGGGTCATATTGTCGGAAAGGAATAATGAAGGTGAGCATAAAATAAAGAAAGGAGATGGACTGTCGAATAGAGAACATAAAATTTGAACAGTTAAGCAAGTCCAATATCCTCCTAGAATGTAATATGCTGAGAAATACGTACCAATTGGAGATAAGATTCCAACAACAATAATTCTTATGCTCTACTTCATACCCAAAAAACAACACAGACACGCAATAAGTTATAAATCAGTACGCTCATAGTGTGAAAAAAGAACAAAGCTGACACAATCAAAAGAACAATGAAAACTATAATAAGAAGTAACAAAGTTGGTCCATTGTTGCGGATAGTAAAACATACACGTAAACAATAACTTACTCAAGTGTTTATTCAATAATTAAAAAATATAAAGCAAATCATATAGATGCAAGATTGTGATGCTACCTATACCCAATGACACATGAAACATGAACATCATAGTGTGAGGAAGTGAAAAGTGCATGTGTGTAATCTCAAAGCATACCATATTGTTATGTCACATCTTTTTCAAACTATATCAATTCTCCTTTTTTTTTTTTTTTCTATAGGTCATATTATTCAATACATTGATTTGCAGTTCATTTATAGTATCCACTTTAAATCCTTCCAGTACTCTTTTTGGGTGAAACTTGAATTTCTTCACACGCGCATGAGTTTTCCAGTTACAATTGGTGTCTCCACAAACAACGTACACTATTCTTTTGACAACTTTTGTGAATTTAATTTACCTTTTGTTGACAACGACATACAAGTTAACAATATCCTTTATTTATTTCTGCTTAAAAAAGTCATTCCAATTTCAAATTCGGTTAAAACAAACCGATTTCATTGAAACTGGGAGATGGATTATCCTTTTTCTTATCCTCATCAAACTCAACAAACTCTGCAAGCTTGTTATCCGTCTCCAATACATCTTCTATCACTCATGTTCTTCCCGTTTAATGTCTTCTCTTTCACCTACCTTATGAACTTGCCCCTCTTCCTCTAGCTCTAATGTACCATACCCAATTAACTCATCTCCTACTTTTAGCTCACCACTCTTTTCATAAAAAATATAAGCAACAAAATCGTCAAACAAAACATATCACATTCATCATACTCTAAACCATGAGTACGAGGAAGATGAAGTGTGAAGTGTAGGAACGCTAGTTCGGAGACCAGACAGAGAGCGAACGACGGCGAGGCGGCGTGAAACGATTCAAGTAATCACGTGCGAATCATGCACAAGTGACATCAATAATAATAGCTCGTACAATAGATATATCGATTCAATACTATTTCTTTTTTATTCACTTTGCCCCAAAAACAATAAGTGAAAAGAAAAAATATATATATAAAAAGGTGATAAATATTAGTATTTAAGGAGAGAGGCAAATTAATATAATTATATATATAAAAAAAATATTTCTTTGAAATCATTTGAGGATAAAATTATGTCATTAGTGCTTTCACTTATTTTATTACAAAGACTCGATGAGTTTGTTTATAGCCGCCCAAATTAAACAATTAAGAAGATAACTTAAGAAACTAATTACATAATTGGACCAACTAAAGTCCACTATAACGACCATTACATACATCCAATCTTTATATACAATTTATTTTTATGTTTCTCAAATTAATAGTATTTGATTTATAGTATTCTATCCGTCCAGCTACAAAGTATACAATCGTTTTTCTTTTTTTTTATCTTTAAATATTAATTATTATATCAAAACGTAGTACAAATAAAGAGAAAAAGACAAAAATATATCTATTAGTCGCTTGTAATACAAATACAATGATATTTATAAAGTAAATTATATAAATATAAAAATATTTTTAATGTTAAGTACAATAAACATGTGTTTACTTTCCGGCTTGACGGAGGTAGTATAATAAATATAAGATTAAAAATAAAAATTAAAAAATATATAATTGATTATTTTAATAATTAAATTTTAAAAAATTAATAACATAGTGTGAATCGAAATTGAAATAGTAACCAAAGAGACTTGTATTGCCGATGTCAACTCCAACTTATAACTACACGTAGAGGTAAAATGAATATAATGATTTATTGGGAGGTACTTTTTAATATTTTTTATAAAAAATTTAAATGGTTAACGAATAAATTTTATAATTGGTTCAATAATTTTTATTTTTTTTCATATATACTATTCAATGAGTTATATCATCTAATTTTGATTAGATGAGTTTATTAGTGTAAAAGGTAGTGACAATTGTGTAATAATAATGACAGAATAAGGGTAGTTTTATAGTGATACGGTTATTTATAAAAATAAGACTATTGTTTTAAGACAGACACAAATAATAAATAAGATTATTGTATTAGGACGGAGGGAGTATATTTTAAAAAAATAATTATTTAATCAATAACAAAGTATGTGTAATGCACTACAAGAAAATAAAATTTTTGTAACAAATTTTTTTGTTCCAAAATTCAATTTTTTCTGTTATTAATAACATTAAGAACATATTTTATTAAAATTTTGTCCATAAAATTCACATAGCTAATGCTAACTGTTCTTAATTTTTGTTACAAATATGTTATTATTATTATTATTATTATTATTTTATTTTTATTTTTATTTTTTATTTTTTTGTAGTGATACTAAACATAATTTCGACCATTATTTAAGTAACATTTATAGATAATAGTTAAATAATAGTATAGCCGTCCCAATTTTTTGTTTTATTTTTCTCAATAACTGACATTTTAGATAATATAATTTTGATACTTATTTATTTATTTATTATTATTATTTTATCATTTCCTTAATTTTATTTGCGATGATTTTATAAACTATATTGATAAAGATAAAAGAGAAAATAAGATTTTAAAATATTAAAATTATTCTTGAACATCTCAAATAGATTAATTGCAAGCAATTTGAAACTAGGGGAATATAATTTTAGAATGGTAGAGGTTTAAAAATGCAATTTCAACTATTAATTAATTTTTTTTTTTAAGAAAAAAGAAATCTAATCAAAATTAGATGATATAACTCATTGAATAGTATATATGAACTATCCTTACTATTTCATTATTATTACACAATTGTCACTACATTTTACACTAATACACAATAAAGGACAAAAATATCTTTTATCTGTACTTTTTACCCATTATCAATATAATATCAATATTCTTTAAATCCCGTGTCCAACTCGACTAAGACTATAGTTCCAGGAGGGAGAGAGTATATAATTAAACACAATTATCATTTATAATAGTACAATTAAAACATAAATTTAGAATTTAATCCACTGATGAAGAATAAATTAGAATAGACAATCTAATCATCATATGAAAAAGTATATATGATAATGACTAAAGACACTTATATAAATTGAATTTTAATATAAAAACTTTATTATAATTTCTAATATAACTCGTATAGGAAAGATCATTACAATCTAATGTTTTTTATTAATTAATTAGCTGCATGATGATAAATTATATAGTAAATTTTACCTAAATTAAATAAATAATAATATTTGTGGCGGTGATTGAATATTTGTCTGAATACATATAAATTTGGAATTTGTAGAATTAATATTAGAAAGTAAGTTTGGTGTCACTGTCTACTTGTGCATGGCCGGTGATACTTTAATTTAATTTAATTATGATGAGGAATATATATATATATATATGCTTTTTCTTTTTCTAAATAATAATAATAATAATAGTATTCTCAAATTGAAATTGAAATTGAAATTGATCAATCGTTCTACTGGATTTAATTTTACAAATTTGTTGATGTTCCCATTATTAAACTCTTTTTTTTAAGTCTCGTAACTGAACACTCTTATCATTTTAGTCTCATAAATGGAGTCTGTCGCAAACTAGTTCCATAAGTAGAAAATTTTCGTTGTTTTAGTACTTCGGCGCCGGAGATGCCCCGTGGCTCGTCGAAGACCACGTGTCCGTCAGGTGTCCCGTCAGGTCAGCGACACCTGGCGCGGACACGTGGATTTTATTTATTTTTCACTTTTTTTAATTTTTATTTAATTGGATCAAATAAAAAAATTAAAAAGGGCAAATAAAATTAAAAATAATAAAAATAATAATAAAATTCACGTGTCCGCCAGGTGTCACTGACCTGGCGGACACGTGGCCTCCGGCGAGCCACGCGAGCGTCTCCGGCGCCGGAGGACTAAAATAACATAAACATTTTCACTTATGGAACTAGTTTGCGACAGGCTCCACTTATGGGATTAAAATGATAAAGGAGTTCAGCTACAGACTAAAAAAAACAGTTTACCCTTAATTCAATTATATACACATATAATTACACAATTTAGTTAAACCTAAATCAAGACACGATAAACTCCTAAAAGTGCAGTAACTATTCATATGTATTTTTCAAAAAATAATAGGAGTAAAACAAATTCTTAAACTTGGCATTGAAAAAAAAAATGTCTAAGAACTTTTAAACACATGTTGGTTAATTAAGTGGGTAAAATGGGATTTGAGTAAATGAACAGATATGGATAGCAGCAATTGCATTTGTTCCATAATATTTACTCTGCTCCGTAGTTACCATTTTTGTTCGCCTCAAAACAATAGTCTTATTTTCATAAATGACCATATCACCATAAAATTACCACTACTTTTTTATTTTTATTACACAATTGCTACTATTTTTTACACTCACAAGAGCAAAAAATCTTTTATCCATACTTTTTATCTACTACCAATATAATATTAATATTTCTTAAATTTCGTGTTCAATCCAATTAAGACTATATTTATGGGATGAAGAAAGTACAAAAACTAAACCATTAATCCATCCTATATAATAAAAACTATTTTTCCCTCCTAAATCAAAGTGTACTAATTTATTATTATCAATTTTTTTTAATATTGTAAGACACAATAGTATTTTATGAAAGATATATAAGATATATAGCATTTTACTATTTTTTTTAATAGAAGTATGTAAAATAATATTGGTAATTTTTTCTTATAAATAAAAAGAAAAAAATTACGAATATTTTAATATTTATATATAAATTATTTTTATTATAATAAGAAAGATATATATAATTTTGAGTGCAACAGATAAAAATAGTAAAAAAAAAAAAATATATTGAATTGGAATGAAGAGTGAATATAATATCTTATTAGCAGCAAATATCAGATTTGATCGAAAATTTATTCAAATTATTTCTTTCGTCTTATTTGAAATAGGTATTTTGTGGTTTTGTAATAGATTAAAAATAATAATAAGAGATTTTAATATTTTTCTTCTTTGACTTATATTAAAAATAAATGGTATACTTGTAATTTAAATAAAAATTTTAAAATATTTTAATATTAATATATAATTATTTTTAATAAAAAATAATAAAAAAATACTTTTGATTATAATAAACAAAAATAATAAAATGAATATTTTGATTACTTTTGATTACAATCCGCAGCTGTTACCTAAAAATTAAAATTAACAGCCGTTCCCTAAAAATAATAAAAGGGATACTTTTGATTACAATGAATATTTTGAATTAGGTGTACAGTATATTTATAAAAAAAAAAAGAAATTGGTCGGCTATTTGAATTATACAGAGACATATATATATATATATAGGACCATATTAACTAAACTAATCATATGCATGGATGTATCTATGTCCTAAGTGGTGTGGGCCACGGTTCCACGTGGCACAATCCTAAGCATTTGGAGGCACCACCCCCCACCGCCCACCCCACGGCGCCTTCTGCAAATGGCTTCAACCACTCCCCCATGCCCCCCCTCTCTCTCTCTCTCTCTCTCTCTCTCTCTCTCTCTCTCTCTCTCTCTCTCTCTCTACTTATGTATATATATATATACCATTAGTGTGTCTACACACACCCCTGTAATACATTAGCAAATTAAAGCAATTAATTAATTAATTTGAGCAATGCCGATTTCAAGAATCGCCATCGGTTCGCCGGCGGAGGCCAGCCAGCCCGACGCCATCAAGGCCGCCGTCGCCGAGTTCATCTCCATGCTCATTTTCGTCTTCGCCGGAGAAGGCTCCGGCATGGCTTTCGGTAACCAATTTACATAAATATATATATATGTCACTCGTTCCATTCCACTTAATTTGTAGTTGGTGGGAAAACAGGATAACGAAGTTTTAGATATTGTCATAATTAGTAAATAATTAAAAAATATATTATAATGTATCTATTTACTTTTTGTATTAAATTTTAAAACTATTAGTATTATATTGGGATATAATAGAAATTAAAAAAAAAAGATTAAAATGATTTTATTAGTATTGTATGATATAAAAGTAACGACATTTGTGTAATTTCTTGTAAGTTGAAAGGATATTTGTAATGTTAAGTAAATAGTTCAGTTACTAAAATCGACTTAGATGAAAAAAATAAATAGTTTGGTTTACTCCCTTCCTCCCATATTTATGTATCCATTTACTTTTTGCATTGAATTTTAAAAATATTAGTATTATATTTTAAGTTTGAATGATATTTGTAATGTTAGATAGATAATACAGTTATTAAAAATGATCGAATGAAAAAATAGATAGTTTAGTTTACTCCCTCCGTCTCATATTTATGTATCCATTTACTTTTTTTTCATTGAATTTTAAATATATTAGGATAAAGTAGAAATAAAATAGAAATGACTAAAATAACCTTATTATTAGTATTATGTGATATAAAAGTAATGATATTTGTGTAATATATCGTTACTAAAAATGACCAAAATAAAAAAATAGATAATTTGGTAAGAGATAAAAAAAAGAAATTATAAATTATAGATTTCAAAATATCAATAAAGTGAATAAGTATATTTTCGAAGAATAAATGAAATGGAGGGAAGTAATTAATTGATTGAAAATTTCTAACTATATATATATATATAAATATATATATACAGCGAAGCTGACGGACGGCGGCGCGACCACGCCGGCGGGGCTGGTGGCGGCGGCTGTGGCGCACGCGTTTGCCCTGTTCGTGGCGGTGGCGGTGGGGGCGAACATCTCCGGCGGTCACGTGAACCCGGCGGTGACGTTCGGCGCCTTCGTCGGCGGCCACATCTCGCTGTTCCGCAGCCTCCTCTACTGGGTGGCGCAGCTGCTGGGGTCGGTGGCGGCGTGCCTCCTCCTGAAGGTGGCGACCGGCGGGGAGGAGACGGCGGCGTTCGCGCTGTCGGCGGGGGTGTCGCCGTGGAACGCGGTGGTTTTCGAGGTGGTGATGACGTTCGGGCTGGTGTACACGGTGTACGCCACGGCGGTGGACCCAAAAAAAGGCGACATCGGGATCATTGCGCCGATCGCGATCGGGTTCATAGTGGGGGCGAATATTCTGGCCGGCGGCGCGTTCGACGGCGCGTCGATGAACCCGGCGGTGTCGTTCGGGCCGGCGGTGGTGAGCTGGACGTGGGGCAGCCACTGGGTGTATTGGGTGGGACCGTTTGTGGGGGCCGGGATTGCGGCGGTGGTGTACGAGCTGCTTTTTATTGGGGGGCCGACTGGGCACGACCAGCTCCCCACGACGGATTACAATTAATTAATTAATATTATATTATTATATGTAATTAATTTTAATTAAGTGCTTTTAAATTTGAAAAAGGGGGTGGGGGTGGGGTGGGGTGGGGTGGCGTGGGTGTTAATTTGGTTGTGGTATGTTCTTCCAGTCCAGTGTTTGTTTCTTGGTCTTTGTTTAGAAGGGTCTTTGTGTCAAATTTGAATTTGTATCAAACAAATTATCTGCCCACTTCTACACTTTTCTCTCTCTATGATACATTACCTACAATATAAACGTGGGGTACATAAAAAAATAATAATAATAAAAGTGAGAGCATTATAAAAAATTTATTACAGAGTATTAGGTTTACAAAGTATTAGGTTGGGTCGGAATTTATCCGGTGTATATTTTCGAGCAGCGACTGCGGATTCTCGTATCATTAAAAATAAAATAAAATTATTAGATGAAGTATTGTTTAAGATAATAGATACAATTTTAAAATTTTCCTTTCAATGTCCAATTCTTTCAAATAGATTGCATATTTTTTTCAACTAAAATAGTACTAGTGTAAGTGTAAGGAGGAGGCATAAAAGTGAAAATCAAGATCCTTATTTGCAAACACCAATTAACATTAACAAAAGTGAGCAATCAATAAAATGTAGCCATATGTGGTAAAATAGGAGTCTAACAATTAGAAGTAAGTGTTATACTATTAGGAATTTGTTGCAACACACTAAAAACTTTTGATTTTTTTTTTCTTACATGCATATTTAACATGTCAGTTTTTATACTTCGTCACTTAACAATCTATTCATTTTTCTATTTTGGTCCGTCCTATAACAAAATATCTATTTTCCTTTTTAGTAATTGTACTATCTAACTAACATTACAAATACCCTTCCAATTTACAATATATTACACAAATGTCATTATCTTTATATCATACAATACTAATAGAGTTAATTTAGTTTTTTTACCTTTATTTCTACTTTATCTCAATATAATACTAATATTTATAAAATTCCCTGCAAAAAGCAAATGGATATATAGATATGTGACGGAGGGAATATTATTTTTTTGAAATACTCTTAGCTTCATAGCATAAATAAATGAACATCTTTATATTCAACAAATTAAAAGTGTCTTTGTTTGGGGGTTTGGATTTTGAGTTGAGATTTGAATTGTAAAAAATTTGAATTTAAATAGTTGTATGATGTGATATAAATAGGTATTGATGTTATGTTTTGAATGTAAAATTAATTTTTAATATAATATAAAAAATTAAAAATAAGTGTTTGATTTTATGTTTTTGAAGAGAAAAAATTGAATGAATAATGAATTTTGGTGAAATTCCCCAGACAAATACATCATAAAGAGGGAGAGTGTGACTAATAATAACTATTGCAAGTAATTCATGAAACATTTTAATCTAAAATTCAGACTTTTCAAAATCTACTGAATTTGAAGCATTAGATTTCAACATTTTATTAATGTTATATTGTATATGATAGACTTAGGGAGTGTATTCATTTGAAGTTTTATTAAATTTTATTAGATTTTGAAAAGTCTAGATATTTTGGTGAATTTAGAAAATCCACACAAGGTCTATGTAGAGTTTAATGAATTTTATGTATTGGTTTAAATGAATATTTATAAATTCGATTGAATTTTTATGAATTTATATAGATTTCATAGGATTGTAAAATAATTTTTTATTGATTTATATAATTTGTACAAATTTATATGAAACATATTTGTAAATAAAAATATAAAAAAATGTAATATATATATGGAGTATTACATTTTTTATAAATAAAGTATATATGAATATATATTATATATTATTAACGATGTATAATATTTATAGCATAATACTATTTTTATAGATTAATATTTTAAATTTTATAATTTTTATTATATTATCATTGAATATATCAATTTGTTAGAATTTTAGTATAATTTTATTATGTGAATATGTATTATTAATTTAACAAACTTAATGTGAAATGACATGGGATAAAATGGATATAGAGAGGAATGATGTTTCATTGTCAAATGACTTAATTAAATTTTATTTGAATGAGAATTAATTTAAAATTTCAATTAAAAAAATATATGTCCAAAAAATTTGCTATTATATTTTAATTTTTAAAATTATTATCATTTGTTACTAGTATATTTTAATTTATGAAATTTTTGTTATTTTATTAAAAACATTAGTAATAATACTAATAAATATTATCATAATATTTTACAAAATCATTTTTGAATGTAACGGCTCATTATGTGTATAATGAATTGAGTTGAATTATTTAAGATTAAGTTCAATTTAAATTAATATGTAGGCTGATTTTATTATATGTCCACTGCGCCACCAAATAAATTAAAGATATGTAACAAGATATCCCTTTATCATTTATACTCTTAATTTAATGAAATTCATACTATTTATGAATGATTCATACAACATTCTACATAAAATCTTATTTTATTAATAATTTTAATTATGTTAAATATTTCAATAAATAACGGAAGAAGTGTTACTTCTATCGTATGAGATTTTTTCACATTATTGATAAAACTTGATTTTCAAGGACATCGTGATGTATGATCATAAATATGTTGCTGAAAGTACCCACGAAACCTCTAATATGCTTAAGCATATGGAGACTTGTTAAAATAAATACTTCCTCTACTTCTAAAAGTCTCATTTATTTAGCGTTATTATACTTAACATTAAAAATATCCTTATATTTGTATAATTTTTTTTTTTTACAAATATCCTTCTATTAGTATTATAAGACACTAAGGGAAGTATTTTTGCAATTTTTTCTTAATTTGTACTACGTTTTGATATAATAATTAACATTCAAATATCAATATGCAAAAAGTAAATAAGACCCTTAGAGCTGGACGAAGGTAGTATATATATTTTGGAGATATTGGACAAGTAATCTTGAAATCGAATGCATGCATCAAGTTCAGTACATTCTAAAAAGCCTAAGTTTCAATCTGAAGTCTTTCATGAATTACTCACAATAGTTGTGCACAATCTTCCTCTTCAAACTTCTTGAGTATAAAGGTGTTTGAATCAATTTCACTTATTTGTGTCCTAAAGCCAAGGGCAATTCAAAAATATCATAAAAGCTTACATATCAAATAATAAAAACTTTCTAGTGTGTGTTTTTTTTACCTTGGACAATATTTCTTCTAATTTAGTAGATGATTTAAATTTTTATTTGGATTTTTATTATCTAATGGTGAGCATTTTTATGTTCAACTTCAACTAGAGACTTTCAAATAGTCTCATTCTTATATTTTGCTTGAACAAATTGTTGATAATGGTTGTTCATATCAGGTCTTTTAACTTATGTTGGGTGAAACCCTTTTAAAAATTTAATCTACGGCTCATTGCCCGCTCTACCTTAGATAGCATATAGCAAGTTGATAATGTAATTTTTTTTGTGCAATATCTGTAACTAAAAATGAACTTTTCCCTAAAAGAGGTAATTCAAATTAAAACCAAGAAACACATCCTAACACACCCCTGAAATTATGTGAATCTAATTCTTTAAGAGTGCAATTTTCCCCATTGTATTTTTCCTGTTTCTTTGGCCTATTTTAGTACCTATTTCATAACAGTTAGCACATTACCAAAGCATCTTTCTCTATTAGTCATGGTTATATGCAATAATGTTACAACGCCCTAAGATTCAGACAGACCATATACCTTACCTATCAATCTGCAAAAATTAATACACACAAGAAAACTGAGGAAAAACTTTCACAAAACAAGCCACCACTTACCTTGACAGATGTAGCTCAATCCGGCTGTGTTCTGGCGCTAAAATGAGCTTTCTCTCTGTGGCGTCGCTGTTTGCACTTCTTCAAGATTTAGAACAAAATCCGTTCTTGGTATGTATCCAGAGCCCGGATGATCTTCTCTATCAACTGTTTCCGATGCAATCTATACCTGCGAAAAAAGATTAGTTATTGAACAAGTTAGCTGTAATGATGTCCTAGGATGTATCTCAACGAATGATGTAGTGAAGCCGTAATAATGACAACTGCATACTTAATTGCAGCTTCGAGCGTTCTCCTCGGATCAGTCATAGACTCTGCAAACACGGATGGATGACAATGAGATTATTAGTATGAGCAAGCTGAGTCAATTATAGGACTCCGCTCTTTAGATTCTATGGACAGCATAATGACGATGGTGAAAATCGGATTTTTATTAATTCTCGTTACAAAGATAAGCAAGCAGTGTATTGACCTTAATTTAGGATACTAGGTTCAGAAACACCTTCACATGTTTTCTATGATTAGGAGAAGACAAACTCTATAAAGAAATACTAAAATGTTACCGGTGTTCGAATCCTTGTGAGCTTAGGATCCGTTTGGATTGGATTCTGAAAAATGCTTTTGATTTATGCTTATAAAAAAACATTTATTTCTGTTTGTATTAGCTTTTATTGAAAAGCAGAGGCAGCTTTTGAGCTCCAAAAGTACTTTTTTGAGAAGCACCTTAGAGGGTGCTTCTAAAGCATGCAGAAACAATTTTACCACCTAAATTACTATTTTATCCTTAATAATAATAATAATAATAATAATAATAATAAATATTATATTAAATCAAATAAAATTAAAATAATTAAATTATATATTATATTCAAATTAGAATTTAATTATATTTTATTTTAACTATTAATTTATACATTATATTTATATTAAATTTTAAAAAATATATTAAATATAAAAAATATAAATTTAATTATATAGTATATAATGTAATATTTTTAAATACAATTTATAAAGTTTAAACTAATTTGTAGAGTAATTTAAAATTACTTAAATTTAATTATATTTTTTATTTTAAATTAAATTAAAATTTAAAATATAATTTATACATAAAATTTAATAAATATGTTTCCAATTAATGTAGCTAATGTAAAATTTTTAAATGTGTTTTATAAAATTGTGAAAGAAATTAGAAAAATTTAATAAAAAATAGTACAATTATATAACCATGCATTTGGTCAACTTTATTATATTCAAATAGTTTTGTATAAAAAGTGATTTTATCGTAAAACCAAACTGCTTTTACTTTTGGTTTCTGCTTATATTTTTTAAATCAATCCAAACAGGCCTTAGTTTATGTTTACTGTTTAGAAGCTTAAATGCAGTGACTAAAGGTACCTAAAATTTCGAGGTCTTTCTGAGTGGTAGTGGGATATTCTGCAAGCATTTGATGGCATTCTTCTTGCAAATCCTTCACGGCTTTCCTTTCTATGCTTGGTATCGGAGGGGTGTCTCCATCTGACCAAGTGGGCAATGTTCTCGCAGCAGCAATGACGGCTCCATCAACAAAACCATCATCATTGAAAGACAGTTTACCTGACATTGGATTGGGCATAATTGATTTCAGAAATTCAATCGATTTAGTTACATGTAAAATAGTTAAGGGGAGGATGTAGAATATTACTATTGTGATAATATTCACCAGGAAGGCCGGATATATTGAACACAGATAAGAAAGAATCCAAGTGCACCCGTGCTCGGCCAGAAAAGTGGATGACATCCCAAGGATTCTGCAATATTGATATGAAAAAGGTCATAGCATTGATCTATGGTAGTGTAAAAATTGAAATCATATTTAGTATAATGCAAACCAAAAAGAAATATGGCAGCGCCATACAACTCCTAAATAAATTACTAGTTTAAGATATGCAATTTTAATTCCCCGCGTGAAACTCTTAGGAATCGAAGAACAATTTAAATGTGTTAGGCTTAACACAGTAGCTTCTTTTCTCGACTTCCCATCTTCTATCCTACTAAACCAACATAGACCAGCTGTGAGACAGGCCACTGAGAACATACACCTCCAAGTTAATTGAAAAAAATTTTAGTGAGGTGCTCACTTTAACATAGTGTCAGCAAAATTTCTATGTAAACTCTCTACCACTGCCCAGTTACACACAAAAAAGAATCAGTGCAAGATTTTAGTTGGTGTTTTCAAATGTCAGATATGTTGAAGAGCCGAATTCAACTAGTTATTGAATATACATAGTAGATTAATACGGTAGGTTGAGTAGGACAATTTGATGAAGTGGGCAAGAAAATCTAGACCTAAACAAGGGCACGTGCACCAAAAATTGCTACTTGGTATTCAGAACAGTAAGGGTTTACATATTTTAGCTAAGGGTTAACAATGCCAGTTTTCAACACTGTTCACCAAGTAAAAAATGTACCATTTCTCCCCATGCATGTGCTACCGAAGGCATCTCCTATGGGGAAATAATACAAACATTTGGAAAAGAAACAATAGAATTATTTTTTAGGTGAACTAGATGTTCGCATTTATCACGATTTATGAAGTTGTAGTCATCACATAGTTAATAATAATAAGCATAGGATAAATGAAGGAATTGAAGTTATAAACAGATGATAGTTAGAAACAAGAAAATATTACCACAGGTGATGAAAATCCATATCTTCGCATGAAAGAGTTATTCATCTGCCCACTCATATAATCAATAGTCATCTGCATAAGTGTTGTAATAGCTTAGCAACAAATGCAAAATGTGCATCTAATGAAAAAAAAGGAAAGGAAAAAGAAAATCTTCATGTTTGCCAAAATCAAAATACATGGCCATGGATACCCTACCTTCTTATTTTCAACTACCATTTATTTAAGGTTTCATCCTTCACATTTCCCACTAATCGTTAATAAATCATTATTTCATTGCACAAATTTTTCCACCGTTCTCATAAATACATGATCAACATATAAATTCTTGCTTGACATGTCAAAAACACATAATTTGAGAAGCTACGTATCTTTCAAACAGCAGTCCAGGAGTAATTGATATTATGCATTATTTTGTCAGAATTACTTTATCAATTTACTTCGTGTACATGGATTGTTCAGCAGATAATATAGATTTCATCACAAGTATGAGCTTTTGCAGACCTCATCTCCTTTTCTTATTTGTTGTCCGGGATTTATCATCACCTCAAGCATTCGATCCTTGAAACGCCAGTGGAAGAAACAATTTGGCTGAAAAGAATGATTCAGCATATCTGCATAGGAAAGCATGTTTCAGGAATAAGCTTCAGATCTTTTGCTATGATCATGTGGCAGTACGAGTATATAAACCACCATGGAATACAACAGCAGTCAAATAGCAACACAATGAAGGCATCAAAATTAATTGAATATATGCTAGTAAGTTCAAATATATGATGGCTCAATGGTGGATCTTTGAATCAATATTAACTGAAAAGCAGCTAACAATCCTTTGGAATTCTGTTGATGTTACTTTTCCTAAACATTTTCTTATGTTAAATTGGCTGTTTACTGAAGCAAACCTGGGGACATATCATACACTGAATGGCCATAGTTTGCTCCAAATGTATTCAGCTCTAGTCCAAGGGTGAGTTTGCTTCAACTGAGGAAAGGGGAAAGGAGGGGAGGGAAAATTGAAATTGTAATGGCATGTTTGGTTCGTATGAATGGGAGAGGAGGAGAAGTTCGTATTTTTGTGTTTGGTTAGAGAGAGATGGAAAAGAAAAGAAACTTATTAATTCTACCTCTATATTTTTGGGAAGGAAGAACATGGATGATTGAAATAAACAAGAAGCTGCAATCCAAATGAGTAGTTAATAAAGTGAGTTGACATCAATAACTTGTATTTAGGGAGGTGATTTTGTTTTACAAGATTTTTAGGGAGATATTTATTGAGAGTGAATTGTAAATGAATGTTGTTTTACTGACAAAATAGTATTGAAAAATATATAATATATAAATTAATTAGATTATTAAGATTGTCTATTAATTCAATATAATATACGTATCTAATTGAATATATGTATAATATATACATTTATTATAAAATCAAAATTTCTTAATTTTAAATAAAATATTAAGGGTGTGTTTGTTTGGGGATTTTCCTTCAAATCTACTATTCATCCAATTTTTTTCCTCTAAAAATATCAAATCAAATACCTATTTTTCATTTTTTATATTATAGTAAAAATTAATTTTACATTCAAAATATCACATTTATATCACATCATACAATTATTTCAATTCAAAATTTTTACTATTCAAATCCCAACTCAAAATCCAAATCCCCAAACAAACACACCCTAAAAGTCACTCCATTGCAAATTCCCCAAACGGGAGATAAAGTAAAATATAATAGATTTCCCTCACTCCCATCGCGGTCCTAGAAGAGGGAATTGTACTAAAGTTTTTTAATTAATTATCTATTATACCTTCAACACTATATTAACATCCACTTTTACCTTCCAAAATTTAAAATATGTTTGATTTGGGTTTCAAACCCAAATCTACATCATTTAACCCGTCGGTTTTTAATAAAATGCAATATTTTCTCTTATAATGATTTGGGTTTGAAACCCAAATCTACATCATTTAACCCGTCGGTTTTTAATAAAATGCAATATTTTCTCTTATAAAACACCACATGGAAATAAAATTAAATCAAAATTAGATAAATAAAATAAAATAAAATAAACACAAACTCAAACCAAACAAACCTGTAAACTCTCTATTTATTGTGTTTTTTTTATTTTATCAAATATGAATATAATCCAATTTGAAAATAAATAATTTATATAATACATATATTTAATTATATACAAAAATTATATCATATATTTTTCATATTTTAAATTAAATAATTTTAATCAAATTTAGCTACAATATTTTAAATATATATAATACAATCAAAATAAAATATTTATATAAATAAAATTAAATTGGTTTAGTCTCTTATCCATTGAATTATTAGACCCAATCATGAATAATCAAATTATCTATTCTTTTGTTACTATTTTGTAAATGAAACATATTTATCTATAATTTACTATCAATAAATATCTCCCTTGAAATATAGTAAAACGAACTCACCTGAATTGCAGCTTTTTGTTTATGTTCCTTCCCAGGAATGTAGGAGTACAATAGGAAAATAATATATTTTCTTTCAACTCCATTCCCTGATCAAATGCAAAAATAATAGTTATCTCCTTCGCCCCTCCCCCTTCTCTTCATTCCATATAACAAATACACTACTACAATTTTAATTTCCCAACCCTCCTTTCAATTTGTTGAACCAAACACACCCCAAGGGTGAACAGCACCTAAACAAGCCAAACATGAATAGAAAATCAAATATTCCCTCCATCATCTAAAAATACGCTCAAACTTTCGGACATGGGTTTCAATATGAATGTAATTTTTGTTACTAAAAGTAATATAATTTTTTATTAAAAAGAGAAATTTGAGAATCCAAAATGAAAAGTGAGCACATTGTAAGGCAGAGGGAGTATTAATCAATGTGAAATACATATATATATATATATATATCAGGAGGTACTAACCAGCATAAGGGACTAACATATTTGTATCCTGAACTAGGGCGCCAATTCTTATTTGCTTGCTGATACATCGAGATTGTGCCATACTCAACGCCCACATAAATCTCTCCGGTTCTTGAGCAAGGCGTTTTATTTTAAGAGGTACAGCAGAGTGCTAGATGAATATACCGCTAAAATTAGGCAGAGGTGGCTAATAACAATAAATAAAAGGAAACAGAGTACAGAAGCAGAGAATACCCAATTTCTTTCCCAAAATTCCAGCCCTCGCTTTTTTTGTTCTCTCATGGTGGAAGCCAGCTCCTCGTCTTGTAGCTCCAGAAGGTCCTCCTGTAATTGAAAGAAGAAAATATGGGAAAAATCATTAAATAAAATAGGTAAAAGCATATATATATATATTCCTAATAGGTTAACACCATTGGATTTTATTTCTAGAGTTGTCAGACAATCTTAAAAGTCCATCTCGCATAGGGAGCCAAGGGTTGTATAACCTAAGCAGATTCAAACCTCCGTAGCAAGAAGAAAGCTAGTGCAGTCATCAGTGCCAGGTAAAAAGTCACCATACAGCTGCCAAAAATTATCCTTGCAATCAAATGAATACAAAAGAAGGCACGCCAATCTCAGGTCCCAGTCCGTCTGACATAGATAACAATGTAAAAAAAACATAAGAAACTACAAAGTATGTCTTAACAACATGGAATTCACAAAATGGTCAACATAAAAAAGGTTAACTTACTTGAGAATAAGTTAACATAAGAACCTAATAATCAAAAAGCAAACTGATTGCCGAAACATTTACCTCAGGGTTGGTTGAGTTGATAATATCAAAGATAGGATGACCCACCGGTATGATATCAGGGAAAAACATCCAAGGAAGTTTCTGACTAATAGTTAACATCAATTCTAATGGGATCTCCATTATCATCTGCATGACCAACAAAAGATTTCAACTGAAACAAATCCAACTGCAGAACATTTTGAAATTGATATTTGTGAGAACCAGATACAAAAGCTAGTAAAGCTTTGTTAAAAGTAGTTACTTATGTTCCTGCAAGAGAAGAGAATACCCTGGCACGACGAAGAGGCGCAATATCTTTTGAAGCATATACTCCAAAACCTTCAGGTCCTTCTTTGAATTCAATTCCATAAGCTCGCATGCTCCGAATGTATCCTATCTTGTAGAAATCTGGATCTGCTGGCTCCAACTACACGAAGGTACAAATCAGTAACACTGAATGTTATTATTTACACTAAGTCTCAGTAGACGAAAGAATATATCCAATATTAGAAAACAGTGGAGGTACCTCAGAAGCAGGGGTAGGTTCGGGAGGGGGAGGGGATTCAAAGAGTGGGAATGTAGAAGCAGAAACTGAAGCTGAAGATGAATCATTAGTAGATGTCTCTCCATCAGTAAACAAAGTGGCCGTAGCTACTCTGCCAAGCTTTCTTCTGTATTGATTTAGCCTAGAGGAAGACACCACTGAAGGACTCCTGTAGCGCTGCAAATTAATGAAGGTTGATTAGCACCCTATGTACACTGTTCTGTTTATGTAGTTGAGGAAAGAGGAAAGGAAAGAGACTAACCTGCTCGTTGTGGTAACAGGCGAACATGCAGGATGGCTGCAGTATTGAGATAACCATATCTGGTGTGTAAAAGTGTAGCGTAAAAATTTATAAGAAACACCAATCACAGCTGCATTGGGGAATATTTTTAAGTTCAAGGGTATGTCACCCAAAACAAAATTTCTTTGTTGGCCACGGGTCCTCTACAAAAAAGAAGAATTTATAAGAGAAATTCATGAGGAAACAGTAACTATTTAGAATCCACTCCAGCATTTAATGGATATTCATGGAACTTGAACCCACATATCAATGTACAACCTGCATTTCATGACATGTTTTGAAATTACCAAATATCCAACTTGCTTAACCAAGATATAGAACTTAATCAAAAGATATATTATTAATATCATAAAACATGAGATTAAAGTCAATGAATTGCTCTACCAATGCTCAATTTATCCTTCCCAACAAATGTATAACTAAAAAAAAAGCTTTTCACCTATATCCCAAATATCATGCAAAATAGATTAATTGATTCTTAAACACATTGCACATAAAACATTTATCTACATACTTCCCATGAAAAAAAAAATAAAAATAAAAGAACCTACTAGAAGGCACTCTTCAAAATTAAAATTGAAGTACCATAAGAGAGTAAACAGCTCTTGACCTTTGAAACAAACCAACTCCATTACAAAATAAGAGAAACTACGCCAAACTCAACTAACAGTGTTCACTAAAAGAAACAACATGTCATCCAACCAATTTAATGCCATCCTTCATATTAACTTGAAGCCATAATAAGTATTTGATTTCATCACACCGAACAATTTACAACCGATTTTCAAGTTGTTACTTTAACCTCAACCAATTAAAATTCACCAAGGACGAATCTTGCGCATGGAAGTAACTAAAGACCTCAAACCTAAAATAGAAAAAAAAAAATGAAGCTCAATAACAAACACCTTTAGATGAAGGGGAAAACTCCTGTAAATTCCACCCGGAAACACTTCAGTACGAGGAGATTAGGATGGCAGAATGCAACAAACACTTCAAGCAATAGCACTAGCAAAGACTAATTGAGTTCCCACACAGCAGCTAATTCGCGCTTCGCCAAAATGGTGAACATGAAGATGAGATATAGCAGCACTGAAAACGATTAGCAAGACAAAGGATTCTGGTCATTGGGTTCTTAACCAATCTTACTTTTTAGAAGACCTCCTTATAAGATTAATTTCTTGAAAATTCAATTCAAACTTTGTGCTAGTATGGATGAATTGCTTCCTCAGTCATGTTTCTGCCATTCTAGCAATACTACTCTGTCACACCCTGACCCCCCCCCCTCCCCTTTGTTTTTTTCTCACCAGATTTTTCCTTCTCACAAAGCAATCATTCATGCTACATAATGGAAAACATCAAATAATAATAATAATAATAATAATAATAATAATAATAATAATAATAATAATAATAATAATAATAATAATAAAAGAGGGTAAATTCTAATAATGAAGAGAAGGAGAAAACACACCACTAATTGTAGACCAAGACCAATGATCTTTAACTGAGAATAATACGCATAACACCATACCAAGCAAAGCCAAGAAATATGGACATTGAATATTGACAATTGTTCCACAACATTTAATTCACTATTAATATGTACAACTGAATTATTCTATTAATGAGTTTTATAAATCACCCCAAACATAAGATTACAAGACAAACAATTATTCGATCATATAATAACTGAAAGCGATACCTTTTAATATGCTCCGATGCTATGTAGCTACTTTACACACCTCCAGCTTAAGGATGACCTGTTAGAAACTACCCTCCACTGACTCATTGATCCAATTACATTTCTAAGACACTTCAAACAAGTTTTAACTGTGAGCCAAAAAAACCCAAAACTCCACTGCAAGGTTCCATGTCAAACAAAAAAACAATGGCTATACAATCAACAAGCAATCAAAAGTTTCATTGTGGCGGCGCAAAGATACGGGAATATGAGGATATCACAGTCTGTTGCACATACTTCTTAGGATCAGAGGGATCGGGCATCCATTTAATTTCACTCATATTGGGGGTCTCCACAAAAGCCAACGTAAATTCCCCGACCTTCACCACTCTCCCTCTTTTACCAGCCCTCAAGACCAGATTGTTCCGACTGTAGGAAAATATACCACTAGTCAATAGAATGATGTCCCCTGGCTCGAAAGCATCGCACTCATCGCCCCAGAACTGAAAGTGCACTGACGCTGTCTCGTCAGCCACCAAAGCAAGGCACGCCTTATTCTCCCCTTCCACAGATACTCTCCCTTTGTCTAGGATTATGCACTTGACATTTATGTTATTTTGTGCTGCCGGTACGATGCTTTTCAGAGGTTGCGGCGTAATTCCGTTATCCATCAGCCTTTTGCAGTCTTCTATATGTTTTTATGTTTTATAGGTTGCGAAAACCTCACCAACCTACAAATGCATCTTCCTTAGGTTGCATCTAATTCTAAATTACTGATAGTTTGGCATAAAGTATATTATATCATCTCATCATAAGGATTATATGATTACTGCAAATTGACACATACACACAAGGGTGTGTTTGTTTGGGAGATTGGATTAGATTTCCACTGTTCATCCCATTTTCCCCCCAAAAACATCAAATCAAACACCTATTTTTTATTTTTTATATTATACTAAAAATAAATTTTATATTCAAAACATCACATCAACACCTATTTATATCACATCATTCAACTATTCAAATTCAAAATTTTTACTATTCAAATCCCAACTTAAAATCCAAACCCCTAAACAAACACACCCTTGATAGATGAAAATTGCTTGAAAAATCCAAGCGGCAGAAATTATCCCATTTGATTATAGAAATATTTATAGTGAAAGCACCAAAGATCCTCAGACATAATATGCAGCAAGTTTGCTACATCCAACTCCAACTTTAAATTAACCACGTCGCGAACACACAAACACACCATTGCTTTAGATTTTAATCATCAACGTCCACATATTTTAATTGCAGTTAAAAATAAAGCATCAAACAAAAGCATGAATTAACAGAATCTCAGGCCTATAAGTCAATCATTAGGAAAATGTAAATTTGACTAAATTCACATAATCTTACGCACCAAAATGTTGGCGCGAACCCAAGGCACCCAGCGAGCCAAAGTTTACACCGACAAATAGCAGCCTACTTCTGCAAAAGCACCTGGCTCACCATTCATCACTTGGGGCTCTGAAAAGGTCTTGTCTGAGAGAAGAAGAGGATGACGCCGGAAAAGAGGAAGACGAAGGCGAAGGCGAAGGCGACGAGGCTGGAGAATAGGAAAAGGTGAAGGCGGAGCGGAGACGATGAAGCCTACAATGAAGACGGCGGTCGCGATGGATAAGAATTTTAAATTGGACTGTGTAGTAGGCTAGTAGGGTTTATGGGTATTTTATTTTAGGGTGTGTTTGAGGTTTTAGAAAAATTTGGGTGGTTTGTGTTTGGATTGAGTTTGAATTTTAAGATGGCTTTGACTTTTTATGTTTTTTTTAGGCTCTGTTTGTTTGAGGATTGGATTTTAAATATATTATTGTCTTATATGCCATGTTATTTTTTTTATTTTTAAAATGATTATACATTTGAATCTCATTTAAACTTTTTAATTTTATTTTTTTCAAAATTTTAATTAAACAAATTAATTATAGTGTAGCAGATACGATACGTGGGTGGGACGGAGGAAAGTGTAGCAGATACAGTACGTGAGACGGAGGAAGTATTATACTAAAAGTTTAGAGATTTTATTAAATTTTTTTTATTTAAATTGTCTATTATAGTCTTTTAGTATTTTGTTAAAAGTTTTATAATATTTTTAATTTTATATTTATATATTTTAGTTTTAATTATCGAATAAATATTAATGTATATTGTGCATATATTTAAATTATATTATATGTTTTAAATTATTTTAAATTAAAATGTGCAATAAATATAGTTATAATATTTTCAAAAATTAATACTTCTTCCGTCCCAGAAAATATGGGACTATTACGGTGGGAATTTAGGTAAAGTATAATTAATAAGTAATTAAGAATTGTATTAGTAAAAATAATTCTTATTTAATTAAAATAAGTAAATAGTTTAAATAAAATTAAGAAAATTATAAAATTTAAAATTTAAAATACTATTAAAGTGCATAATTATATTTTCAAAAATAGAAATGACAAGTTATGTGAGACGAACGAAAATAAAAAAAATAGGAACAAATTATGTGGGACGGAGAGAGTATATAAAATTATATATAATTTAAAAAATAAATAAATAATTTTAAATTGATTTAGTTGTAAATGATTGTATTTAATTTTAATAATTGGTTTTATCAAATAAATATATTTTAAAAAATTAACACAAATTATTAGATTAATTTTTATAATTGATTTAGTTTATATAAAATTTACCATATCTACTGTTATATTTGTATATAAAATTATTATTTTTCTGTATTTTGATTTTAATAAATACTTACGTCATTTAAAACAATCACATTAAATATTTACGTTACCTAAAACAAATCACATTAATTTAATTCAAATATATTATAACATACTTTTAAATAATTTTTTAATTGAATTTATTTTATAACTAAATATATATTTTAATTAATTCAATTTAAAAATTTATATGATATAGAAATTGAACTAATGACCTATTATTTGGTCAAACAAAAACCAAACAATTGAACTACATAATTATTTTTAATGTATATTTTTTTGCTAATACAGGGGCCCGGTTTAGACTCGTGCCGAGCTAGGCATGGCCCGAAATTTTCCGGGCCTATTTTCTAAGCCCAAACATTATTTTTTCGTGCCGAATTCGAATTGGATTTTCGAGCCGTGCCTATTTTTGCTAGCTTTAGAATTGCCTTCCGAAGATCACCAAAAAACTTGAAGAAGCCTCCCTATTACTGACTGTCGAGCACAAAAAATAATAATAATAATAATGGTAATAGTAGCAGGGTCTTAAAGGAGGTCGAACAAGAAGAGGTCGGGTGAAGAAAGATGGGATGAAAGATACGGAGGTCGGCTGATACGGCCGTCGGGTGGTTTGCAGTCGGTTGGTTCGCAGTCGGTTGAGTAGGTCGGATGATCCGCGGTCGGATGAGCAGGACGGATGGTCTGCAGTCAGTTAAGCAGGTCAGATGGCCCGCAGTCGGATAAGCAAGTCGGATGGTTCGCAGTCGGATAAGCAAGTCGGTTGGTCTGCAGTCCGACCAAGGGAAGTTGGTCGGTTGGCCCACGATCGGGCCAACGTAAGGCGGTCGGTTGAGTCGGCCAATACAGAGGTTGGACCAAGCGAAGAAGGTCAGTTAATTGGTCGCCTACTTAAGTGAACAGTAGTTCAGTCGCTTGATTGGGGCGACCAATGACTTGTCTGATGGTTCATTGTTTAGCCGATTAAATAGACCAGATAGTGGTCGCTTGATGGGGCGGCCAATGAGCAGTTTGGTCTAGCGACCAATTAGTCTTTGGATTGGTCGGTTGGGTTATGCGGTTGGTGAGATGGTTGAAGACATGTGTCAATCAAGGAGGAATTAGTGGGCGGTTGCTGTAACCAACCAGGCGACGGTTCTGAAACGTTTTTCTTGAAGAAATATTTAAGGATTTGGATTTATTATCTTAAATCATCTTCAATCGACATCAAATCAAAGAATTACTTTTGGGGATCACCACTTTATTTTTCAGTCCGTAGTTTTATTTTCTTAGTTTATTTATGTATTCTATAGTGTCTAGAGATTCCTAATCTCAGGCACTAATTGTATCAAATTCGAAGATATTTCCTATTTTCGAATTTTACTTTTTATTTGTTGAAAAATACATCAACAAATTGGCGACCACGGTGGGAGAAGAAAGCAAGATTGCTAATCCTACTTCCAGTAACGATTTCATGCGTTTACACTCTGGGCGGATCATCAGCAGAAACACAATGACAGACACTCAATCTCAGAAAAACACCACCGGTGTTGGAGTTTCTACAACAACATCAAATCCGACCACAGTTGTTCAGACTACAGGAGGAACATCTCAAGTGCAACCTAAATGGTTAACTTATGTTCAACAATTGAACAATCAGCATACTCTGGCTATGCAAAACACGTTGCGTAAGCAACAAAATTTAATGCAGAACATGTTGCGTGAGCAACAAAATCTAATGCAAAACATGTTGGATCAGGCGTTCTCCAAAATCACACTACATTCAAACATGCCTCCAGCCTTGTCACCTTCTCGGTTTCAAGCAACTTTTCTAGGATCGACGTTTGCAAAGCCAACATACGTTGATAGTACATTTCCAAACGCCACAACTTTCAACCGAACAGATAGGGAGAAGACTCCTCTAACTTTCCCCGATAATGTTCCTTTGGGACCAAGAGTTGACAACGTTCAGCCGAATATCGTAAGGGAAGAGAAGTTGGGGGGACAGGATCATAATCCCATCCCAGCCGAGCCAACCGTCCCCAGAGAAGAAAGATTGGGAGATCAGATTCATAATATTCCAGCCGAGCAAGCCTTCGCTTGGGGACTGGTCCATAATCCTATTCCGGTGTTCGACCCAGTTCCACCCAGGATAGATCCGAAGAACATCGCTCAAGTTTTGCGGGTACATTTCGGAATGAATCCGCACACGGTGAACCGACCGGCGTATCAGAGGCCATTTCCAGAGAGAATCATCAACGATTATCCTCTCCCGATGAATTATCAACCGCCAGACTTTCATGTTTTCTCAGGAGAAGACGGATCCTCCACCATAGAGCATGTGGATCGGTTCACAGCACAGTTAGGGGAAATCGGTAATAACCTTTTTTATAAACTGCAACTCTTTGGTTTGTCTCTTACCAGAACAGCTTTTTCGTGGTTTGTAAATCTGCCACCTGGGCAAATACAAACCTGGGAAGGTTTAGAGATAGCGTTCCGTGTTAGATTCTTCAACCCTTTGCCAACTGCTTCTCTTACCGAATTGTGGGAAATAAAGCAATTTCCAGAAGAATCCGCCTCACAGTTCATCGAAAGGGTACGACTGATGAAGGGACATTACCCGACAATCATTGAGGAGAGCGAGATGACCAATTTGGTGGTCATGAATATGCATACACAACTGCGGGAGGCTTTAACGGCCCACGATGTTCAAGATCTGGCCAGTTTAGCATCCAAGGTAGGAAGGTTAGAATCTCTTCTTAGAGAGATGTATACACCAGACGATGAAATAAGGGAAGGTGCTGAAGAAATGGCGGCTGGAATTATAGGGCGAGATTGACCAACGCACAGGCCACCACCAGTCCCCGATAGATGGAGGTCAGATCTGAGGCTGACGTGGCCTCGGATGATGGCTTGCAAACTCCTAAACGTCCCAAGAAGTGACGCTTAGGAGTCGGGCGGGAGGAGGCATATTGTTGAGCACAAAAAATAATAATAATAATAATGGTAATAGTAACAGGGTCTTAAAGGAGGTCGGACAAGAAGAGGTCGGACGAAGAAAGATAAGATGGAAGATACGGAGGTCGGCTGATATGGCCGTCGGGTGGTTTGCAGTCGGTTGGTTCGCAGTCGGTTGAGTAGGTCGGATGATCCGCGGTCGGATGGCCCGCAGTCGGATAAGCAGGTCGGATGGCCCGCAGTCGGATAAGCAGGTCGGATGGTTCGCAGTCGGATAAGCAGGTCGGTTGGTCTGCAGTCGGACCAAAGGAAGTTGGTCGGTTGGCCCACGGTCGGGCCAAGGTAAGGCGGTCGGTTAAGTCGGCCAATACGGAGGTTGGACCAAGCGAAGAATGTCTGTTAATTGGTCGCCTACTTAAGTGAACAGTAGTTCAGTCGCTTGATTGGGGCAACCAATGACTTGTCTGATGGTTCATTGTTCAGCTGATTAAAGAGACCAGATAGTGGTCGCTTGATGGGGCGGCCAATGAGTCGTTTGGTCTAGTGACCAGTTAGTCTTTGGATTGGTCGGTTGGGTTATGCGGTTGGTGAGACGGTTGAAGACATGTGTCAATCAAGGAGGAATTAGTGGGCGGTTGCTGTAACCAACCAGACGACGGTTCTAAAACGTTTTTCTTGAAGGAATATTTAAGGATTTGGATTTATTATCTTCAATCATCTTCAATCGACATCAAATTCAAGAAAATTGCTTTTGGGGATCACCACTTTATTTTTTAGTCTGTAGTTTTTATTTTCTTAGTTTATTTATGTATTCTACAGTGTTTAGAGATTCCTAATCTCAGACATTTATTTTATCAAATTCGAAGATATTTCCTATTTTTGGATTTTACTTTTGTTTTGTTGAAAAAAATACATCTAACACTGACATTACAGTGTTTTATAAGTTTGTAGTAAGATGACGAAATTTGGGTAATGACCTAAATTAATTATGTTAGTAGCCCAATTAATCCAAATTTTGTAAATATATTCCTTCCGTCTCATAAATATGTGTCCGTTTGTTTTTTGCACAGAATTTTAGAAATATTAGTATCATATTATGATGTAGTAGGAATAAAGTAGAAATGACTAAAATAACCTTATTAATATTGTGTGATATAAATGTAATAGCATTGTGTAATATATTGTAAGTTGTAAAGGTATTTGTAATGTTAGATAAATAGTACAATTACTAAAAAAGGAAAATAAATACTTTGTTATGGGATAGACCAAAATGAAAAAATGAATAGTTTGTTATGGGACGGAGGGAGTATTAAAATTTTATTTTGGTATTTTAATTTTACATTATTATTATTTAGATCATCGCTTAATTCATAAACTCTATTTATACAGCTTTTACCTTAAAAAATACAATTAGTTTTACTTTAATCGTAACTTTATTTTTATATATTTTTTATTTTATATATTAATCTTAAAAAAATTATATTTATAATTCACATTATGTATTAAAAAATTTTAAAAATAAAAAATAAATTAAAAACCCACAATTTTAACCCTATTTTTTTGGTATTACGCCAAAATTGGCATTATAATGTAACAACGCCAAAAAATGACGTGAAATTTGGCCAAATTCACCAACCCAACAACATTAATGGCGATAGGTTGAATATATCCTTATATGTAATACAAATGATATAAATGAAATCTCGACATTGACTGATATAATATATACAATATTTTTATTAAAATAAATTTGTTAGTATAATAGCAATAATTATACAAATTATAAAATTTAGCATTTACATGAATATGTATATGTACTAATTTGGTTGGAATATTATCTATTTTAAATTTTAATTTATTATAGATATAATATATTTTCTTCAATATTATATATTCTTAAAATTAATTATATTTATGATTTAATGTATTATAATTGCTTATTATAATTTTTTTTTTTAAATACATTTCTATATAAAAAAAATCATACCGACCTATATACGACCTATAAAATCCCATCAATGTTGACAAAAGTTTTATCTGTCTTGGGATTGGCTTGAGTATTATTTTGAGCCCGACAAAAATTTGAAATCATAATATCAACTAACAACTAGTGTTACATATCTGGTAATAATCGAATTCATCCTAAATTATTTGTCACATTAACTAGTGCTGTTTTTTTATTACACATGTCATAATAATTGCTACTCGTGGGAGGGACCAGTCCATATCAAATTTAAATTAAAGTACAAGAACTTGATGAATTTAAATACAAGTTATAGTGGTCTAATTAATTAACTAAAATACCTCCAATGAAATTTTAACACCAAAAAACTAAAAAAAAAAAAAAAAAAAAAAAAAAAAAAAAAAAAAAAAAAAACTAGTATGGCACAATTAAATAAATCTTATACACGTCGACAAAGTTGGGTGGGTGGGTGGCTGTGAGTGGCAGCCTGGAGGGACAACCACCACTTGCCCAAACACTTTAAAACCATTCCCCCTAATAACCTTACGTCATCGATATTTTTCAGGACCGCTTCGAATTTTTTTGGGCTTTGAGTAAGAATAAATTATAGATACGATTAAAATATATTTTAAAATAATATTACTAATTACCGTCAATTGGACAAAAGATTGAGGGGGTGTTTGACAAATAGTTTTTGAAGAGCTTTTAGTTGTTTGACCAGTCAAAAAACTAATTTAGGTGTTTGATAAATTAGTTTTTTGGAATAGCTTTTTGAACCCAAAAAGAAGCTAACTTACCAAGCGTTTTGAAATAGCTTTTTTTGTAAAAATTCTTTTATTCCTTATATGCCCTTACAAATTTATTATGCATTTTACACAAATAAATATATTTTTGATTATATTAGAATATTTTATTATAATATAATTTTACTTTTATCAATTTAAAATAATGAATTTATATATATAAATTATTTTAATTGTAAAATATATAAATTTATTAAAATCAACATAAAATATAAATATTAATAATTTATTTTTATATTAAAATTACATTATATAAATTTTATACTAAAAATAAATTAAATAAATTAAATTTATTGAAAATTACAAATATAATGAACTAATCGATAACTAACATAATAAATATATACACGAAAAATTTATTATTTTATATTTTACATTATTTTCAATAGAAAAAACTATTTATATATTTTAATAAAAATATATTATTTTTTTAAATTTAACTGTAATAAAAATAAATACTTTTATAACACTTTTACAATTTTCAATAACTAATAACAAAAAATTTTAAACATTCTAAACTCAAAAGAATATAATTGAGTATATTATAAACAAAAATAAAATAGAAATGTCCTCAATTGTCATTTTACGTATAAACAGCTAATATCAAACAGTTGTTTTACCAAACATTTTAATACAAACAACTAATCGAATAACCTAGTCAAACCAACTAATTGAATCAGCTAACAACTATCAGCTAATTGAATCAGCTAACAGCTAATTGCCAAACACGCCTTGAACCTTACGGCCTGGGCAATATTGATTTGAGAAAAAAATATGAAAGACAGGCGATGACGATGATGCTTGAATTTGGAAAGATGAGGTGAAGTATGGTTAGAAAGAAAAGATATAAAAGAATATATAATTAGAATTTAAAATTTAATTTTAAAATAAAATTAAATAATTATGAAAAGAAAAAATATAAATTAAAAAATTAAAATTTAATTTTAAAATTTAAAATTTAATAATAATAATTAATAATATTTTAAAATATGACCCTGACCTGAGCGGTTGCTCACTTTACTCCGATGCCCTTGCCATTTTTGTATATATATTCTCACATCATTTTCTTCTTTAATTAATTTTTATCAAATTATCATTGCAAAACCAATAACATTTAATAATTGGTTTTAATTTGCAACATGGCTAAGGTTGATAGAATCTAGTTAAAATATCACTCCCTCAGTCAAACCTACCATGTCCTGTTCGTTATCTAGCTAAATCACATTTTTAATTTTTTAATTTAATTTTTTTTAAATTTTAATTAAAATAATTAATTATTTTAATTTTAATTTATAATAATTTATATTATGAATTAATTATTTTACTAATATATTCTTAATTATCTACTAATTATATTTATCCTAAATTCTCGTGTCTATCGTAATTAAGACTACAATGTAAGTCGGAGAGTGTACTGTATATATATATATATATATATGTGCGGTGATCATCTTTGCTACGTGGTTCCAACGAGTATATGTAAATGTAATATGTATATCCAATCCAACAAGGGTTCTTGGATCCTGCCATCCCCACCGTTGATCGATCCTGCATCATCAACGGTCAAGATGCACTCTCTATGTGTGACCTTTTTTTATTACATATAGAAATGAAGAAAAGAGATCATTTTTCAAATGTAGAATTTGGAATCATATTAGATGCTGCAATGATCATCACTCGCTTTATATTTATATTAAATATTCAGTGTACCAAATTGCAAATACTTTTTATAGTATAATTAAAATTACCTGTACAGCTTTATTAAAAAATAATTGGTGCATATATATATATATATATATAAAGATGCTGAAATTAAGCTGCTTTCACAAATACAGGTATTTTACACCACAGTGCACACACAGTAGGGTAGGGTAGGGTAGGGTAGGGTAGGGTAGGGGTAGGGGATTAATTTAACAAGCTGCTCAACTCAAACCTGCAGAAACCCTAAATCTATACAGAAATTTCTGAACCTAGACTAGATATGTCTGCCTGACTGCCTATGGAACTTGTCTTATTCGGACAAATATGGATAGATGGATCTCATTTGTGTTAAAATGAATTGTTAATTTGGTGCATGATTAGTTCTTCGTCGTGGATAGACCAGATCATCGAGTTTGGGTATCCGACGGGGGCCGGGGGGCAAAAATCCCATAAAGGGTCTGTACTGGTGTCATCTTCGATGTCCTTCCAGATTTCATCCATGGAGTAAACTTTGCTGCTTTCTTCCAAGGTTTCAGAATTGTGATGCTTCATTCCACCTGTGTCATAAAAGCTCCTGCCTTTGTTCTCCGACACTGTTTTCCCGAAGGCCATAGTCGATGACGAGGAAGAAGAAGAGTTGCAGGAAGACGACGAAGAAGAAAATGATGGCGACACGGGCGTGTTGGTGTTGTTGTTGTTGCTTTTCTTTCTCTCTTGTGCCTTCTTCCTCATATGAGTCCTCCAGTAGTTTTTGATCTCGTTGTCGGTCCTGCCAGGAAGTTTCCGGGCAATCCTCGACCATCTAAAAATTGATTAATTTAATTAATATTAATATTAATTTTAATTTAATTAGAGCATCTCTTTCTTATTACATTTATGATTACTTTTTCAGTTTTTACTATAGTAACTAGTTATACAATTATTTACTATTTATTACTTTTGTCAAAAATTGGTTACGTTTAATAAAAAATTAAAAAAAATTTAAATATTATTCAAAAAATTTTAAATTTTAAAATTAACAAAAATTATCTAATATATATGTTGATTTATTCGAATAATTTTAATATTTAAAGTAATAATTTATATGTTTCAATATATTAAAATTTATATAGAGTTAAAATATAAAAATTTAATATAATATTTTATAAAAGTATTATTAAACAATCAAAATATATAGAAATAAATAAATTAGTGTAGATCCTATAAAATAGTAAAAGTAATGTGTTGAAGGCATTACTATAGGTGTGTTTCTTTTGGTTGAGTTTGAGAAAAATTTGGTTTGAATTTATATTAAAATAATGTTTTATAAGATATTTCAAAAAATATAGAATCAAAATAATAAAATTGAAATAAAGAAACAAACCCTATAACAAGCTATAAAAAAGTTAATTTAAATAATAAGAGATAATAAAGTAAAGGTAATATTTGTAACGAATGTTCTAAGAGACCTGTTGCCCCATTTGTTGTGGAGGTCGAGGACGAGGCGTTCTTCGTGGGGGGCCATTTTGCCACGTTTGAGGCCGGGGTGGAGGTAGTTGACCCAGCGGAGTCGGCAGCTCTTGCCGGTCCGGTTCAGACCTGAATAAGGTAAATGAATTCGATTTAAGGTATTTCTTGGCCGAGGAAGAAGGGATGTCCATGCCCAAAACAGGCCTACCTATAGAGGGCTGTCTCCCGCCACCTTCAAACCTGAAACTTTGGCTATGAAGTCCCAACGACGGTCGCCGAACAGGTCAACGTAGAACGCCAGCTGTACGTCTTCCTCTTCTGTCCATGGACCCTTTCTCATCATCGTCTCCTTCATCATCTATTACTATTAATAAATAAATAAATATTCTTGCCTCCTCCTCCTTCTACTTCCTCTTCTTCTTCTTCTTCTTCGTTATTAGGGCTTTCTCTCTCTCTCTCTCTCTATGTCTATCTATCTCATATGGGTGGAATGGAATATAGTGATGATATATATAGTGGAGGATATAGAGAGAGAGAGAGAGAGGAAGGATACATTCATTCTATTATATATTTGAAAATAGGGGAAGGATACAATATTATTATAATAAAGGTACGTGCTCTTTTTTTATAATAACTGTACGAGAGTATGTCTTGTGTGTGCTGTATGAGACTATAACATGTGTTGTTAGTTCATGTGTTGTATTTGTATTATATTAATATATACAACCGCCCACGATGTGCTGTTGAGACTATAATATGTTTTCTTTGTTCTTTGTTGCTGTAGCCATTTTGAATAATAATTAGAATAAGAATGAGAATGTATTGCACTGCAGGTAGCCCTACAGGTGTGTGAATGTGATCATGATACGACAAAATGGCTATATAATATATATATATATATATATGATTGATGATAGAGATTGGGGCCATTGGGAATTTGGCATTGGCAAGATAAGTGTGGTGATAGGCCGATGCGACTCTCGCATAAGTGCCTGTCCATTTTATCTTCTTTATTTTATCTATTTATTTATTTTATTTATTTCTCCATCCCCACCAATATATATATATATATATATTATATTTATCTCTTTTGATTTTTATTCATAAATTCTCGAAGAAGATGTGTGCGTGTAGTGATGGTGTGGGTGCGGTGTAGCAGCGTTAAGTGGGTGACATTGATGGGGGGCTCGCTTACCTCCATTCGTTCTATATTTCTATTATTATTATTATTATTATTATTTATTTATTTTATTTTATTTTATTTCGCTATATCTCTCGCTCGCTCACTCAGTCAGCTGCTACTGCTCAAAGTGCCATGTTATGTGTTCTCCACACAAGACTACCACCATATACATATATTGTTGTAGAGTTACTCCTGCCTTCGATTACAAGAATTACAAATAAGTGAATTAATGATTGAAACTAAAAAATGGAACTAATGGATAGTTAATCATCGTTTCTAGTTTTATAAATTGATGCGACTTGGTAACATTTAGAATAGCAAGGGGTGAGACTAAAATTTTTGCAGCAATTTTTTTTTTATTATCAAGAAATTGAATTCCAAAAAAATTTTGATCACCTTTTGTTAGCTTTGTTGCGCTTAGGACCAATAAGTGGTATTGGAACTTATCGCTTACGCCAAAAATCATACAGTATCCGACAACACAAACTACACCAGTTGGGTTATTCATGTTCAAGCTATGATGGAGGATCAAGGTATGTGTGAAACAGTTGAGCCGGCGGAAATTGACGCCCGGTCAGACAGGAAGGCAAGATTCCACCTTCTACAAGCACTTCTTGAAGACCTCCTCGTGCAAGTGGCCAAAAAGGCTACAACAAAGCAAGTATAGGACTGCCTAAAGACAAAGTTCGTTGGGGTAGATCGAGTAAAGAAGGCAAGGTTGCAGACAATAAAGAGTGAGTTTGACTCGATGATTATGAGCGATAATGAATCCCTCGATCCTCTATGTTGGTCGACTCACTATAATATTTGTCAACTACTCGAGCCTTGGAGAAACACTAAAGGTGTGTTCGTTTGTAGGATTTTCACAAAATTCTACTATTTATCCAAAATTTTACCCCAAAAACATCAAATTAAACACCTATTTTTTATTTTTTATATTATACTAAAAATTAATTTTACATTCAAAACATCACATCAACACCTATTTATATCACATCATACAACTATTTAAATTCAAAATTTTTACTATTCAAATCTCAACTCAAAATCCAAACCCCCAAACAAACACACCCTAAGCGACTCCATCAGTGAAGAAATTATTTGACATGGTGTCAAAAAGATTTATTAGTGTGATAGATGGCATCGAACAGTTCTACAAATTGGGGACACTTATGTTCGAGGAAGCTATTGGAAGTCTCGAGGCTTTCGAAGAATGCACACGCAAAAAGAACATAAGCATTGGGAGGAAAGATGACCGAGTACTACTCAAACTGAGTGGGAATTACGGTTCAAGAAGGACAATAGAGAGTCATCATTGATGCAATAAAAAACGCTTCCGGTAGATGGTGGACACCGTGGACAAGGAGGAAGGATCCGAGACAGAAGTCGAAGGATAAGTGGACAAGGAGCACAACCTAAAAAAGATGGAGCAGGTGGCTTGAGTGCAGCCGATCCAGACAAAAATCCATATCCATTACTTCAATTGCCACAATATAGGCCACTATGCGTCACAATATCGAATACCAAAGAAGAAAGATGAAACACATCTTGCTCATACTGAAAATAGTGAACTAGCATTAATGGTGGCAATACAGGAGACTTCAATCGATGAATTCAACATGTTTGATGAAGGGAAGACAACCCCAGAATTTCGAAGAGTTACACATGTTCAAACTTCCTTTATAAGATTTTACTAAAATTTTACTATTCATTAAGGGTGTGTTCGTTTAAAGGATTTATCCAAAATCCTACTATATATCCAATTTTTTTCCCTAAAAATATCAAACCAAACATTCTTTTTCATTTTTATATTATTTAATTTTACATTCAAAACATCATATCAACATCTATTTATATCACATCATACAACTATTACGATTCAAATTTTTTACTATTCAAATTCCTACTCAAAATCCAATCCCTCGAACAAACAAACCCTAATTTTTTTTTTCCAAAAACATAAAATCAAACACTTATTTTTATTTTTTATATTCTATTAAAAATTAATGTTTACATTCAAAATATCACATCAATATCTATTTATATCACGTTATATAACAATTTCAATTCAAAATATTTATTATTCAAATCTCAAACTCAAAATCCAAACTCCGAAACAAACACACCCTTATGATGTTTGGTTCTTGGATAACGGTGCTACCAAGCACATGACTGGTGACAAAAACAAGTTCTTCAAATTAGACGAAAAAATCACCGGGAAGTTGAGGTTCGATGATGGCTTAACAGTTCAAATTCAAGAAAAATGAGCTATTCTTTTCGAATGCAAAAATGGTGACTAACAGCTACTCAAGGAAGTTTATTACCTTCTCTCTATTAATATAGTTAGTCTCGAACAACTTAAAAAAGGTCACCAAGTGGTGATGGATGGAGAGGATCTTGAAATATTTTCCAAGACTCGTCATGTCTATTTACTTTATATTTTTTTTATTTTATCAATTCATTAATAAATTTTTTATAATCTTACACTTTACTTTTTATCAATCACATTTTAATAATATAATACTTATCTGTCCTACTTAATTTGTCTATTATTTCTATTTTTGGGTCACATAATTTATCATTTTCTTTTTTGAAAATATAATTATACACTTTAATCAGATTTTAAAATTTATAATTTATAATTTTCAAATTTTAATTAAACTATATAGTCATCTTAATCTTAATTTATAATTATTTTTACTAATATATTTATTAATTACTTACTAATTATTCAATACCTAAAATTCTGTGTCAAACCTAAAGTGAACCATTTAAGTGAGACGAAGAGAGCTATATCATTTCTTAGATTTTGTACCCTACCATTATTACATAATTTTCTCAAGTGGAGGGAGTATATATTTTATCTTTATTTGCGGGTTTGGATTTTTAGTTTTGATTTGAACGGTAAAATTTTAAATTTAAATAGTTATTTGATATGTTATAATGGAAATAGATATAATGTCTTGAATGTAAATTTACTAATATAAAAACTAAAAAATATGTATTTAATTTGATGTTTCTGAAAAAAAATATATATATTAGTAGAAATCAATTAAATCATGAAAATGAACACTCATATATTTTATTTATTTACAAAAATTGAAAATTTAATATAAAATATTATTTTTATATAAAAACACGCTTTCACAAATTTAAAATTAAAAAAACACATTTAATTAAAAAAAATAACCAAACACATTACAATATATTTTTATAAGAAATTGCAAAAATAATATAATAAAAAATTAAAATCAAATGCTAAAAAATATGGAGTTTGTTCATCGATAAATAATATAAAAATATATATTATTTATATACATTTACGCAATATATAACATAAGTATATTTTATTTATTTAAAAAAAGTCAGTATTAATACAAAATATTATTTCCGTCCAGCTCTAAGAGTTTTATTTACTTTTTGCATGTTGATACTTAAATATTAATTATTATATCAAAATATAGTACAAATTAAGAAAAAATTGCAAAAATACTTTAATTAGTGTTTTATAATATTAATAGAAGGACATTTGTAGAAAAAATTATTCAAATATAAAAATATTTATAATGTTAAATACAATGACGCAAACGGGGAAGTATTATGTTTATATTACTAATAAGATTCTCATATATATACTCCCTCCGTCCCATAACAAAATATTCATTTTTTCATTTTAGTCTGTCACATAGTAAAGTATTCATTTCTTTTTTTAGTAACTGTAATATCTACTTAACATTACAAATACCCTTACAACTACAATATATTACACATATGTCATTACCTTTATATCACACATACTAATAAGGTTTATTTTAGTCATTTCTACTTAATTCCTACTATATCCTAATATAATACTAATATTTCTAAAACTACGTGCAAAAAGCAAATGAATATTTAATTCCGGGACCGATAAAGTATATAATATAAAAGAATACATACATTAAAAAAAAAACAAAAAAAAAAAAACCACAAAGTGAAAAACATTACTGTGTTAGTTTGGAAGATTTTTTTGTCAAATTTATATTATTCAACATTTAAAGAAAAAAAACAATCAAATCAAATACTCCTTTCATCCACAAGTAAGTTTTTTATTTGACTTTTGCACGTTAATTAAAAAAAAAATTAGTATTTCGTAGGTATATAATATATAATATAATAAGTAGTGTAATGTTTATTTTACCCTTCAAATTAAAGCAATAAAAGTAATGTAAAAATAAAAAATAGAAGTATTTTGGTATTTAATTAAAATTTACTTTTATTAAAAAAAAATTGATTTGAACAACCTAAAACTATAAAATAAAAAATTTATTAATAGACAGAAAAAATA